GTTCAATTTTGTGGGATAATAATTGATCCATTAGGTGAATGACAAATCTACTATTGATTTTAATGTTTCATAAAAAACTTAATTTTATTTTTTAAAACCGAAAATTAACAATTTAAAATAAGATCTACGATATGATATATAAATTAAATTAAATTATAAAACTAAAACAATTTAGGTTACAAAAAAAAAAAAAATTAATACTCTAAGATAAATAACATTACAATTTATCTTGTTGTACGTTTCGGGTTGCGCTAAAAAAAAATTAATATAAATAATGAAAAAATAGAAAAGTTAAAATATTTTTTACGCTGGAATTTTAACAATTATTCCATCCAGCTCCTCATCCATCTCAACTTGACATCCTAATCTTGAAGTCTCTGTCAATCCAAAAGCAAGATCCTGTAAAAACCAAAGATCAATTATTTAAAAAAATGTTGAGGAATAGTTTCAATTTTTTTTTAAAGTGGTTGAAAAGGTTTACCAGCATATCATTTTCCTCATCATTAGGTTCTTCTAACTTATCATAAAAGTTCTCTTCAACTATAACGTGACATGTTGAACAAGCTAACGAACCCTCACAAGCACCTTAAAAAAGTTTTAAGATTATACAAAGAAAGGTTTTTGTTTTAAGAACAATTCAAAAATTTTTAGAGTAAAATTTACCTTCCAAATCTGTTATAGATATGTATAAATAAATAAAAAATGTAAAAAGGTTTATAATGTTGTAATTATGATCACCTATATCGTTTGCATGAGCAATATCCATTAAATTTTGACCTTTTTTGGCAAAAACAGTGACTTTGTTACCATCAGGTAAAATGTAATTAACTTTTAATCCCTCAGTTGACTTCTCAATGTGATTTACCACTAAAAATAAAAGAATCAGCGAGGATTTTGAGGAAGTGATATGTACCAAAAGAAGAATGAAAGGTTCTTTTGAAGTGCCTAAAGAATTGCGCACGAAATAAAGGCCGAAACACCATTATGCTGCTTAATGCCGATGTTGGTTTTTTTCTTTCTTTTTTTTTTTTGGCCCACGAAATTTTCAATTCACATTCTCCAGCCTCTCTTTTTTTCTTGATAAAAAAGTTTGTTGCAATAGTTTTACCGTTTCAACTTTTTTCTATCCTACTCTTTCCAGTCACAATGCAAACAAGGCTGTCCTGCGTATCTTGAATATATTATATTAATTGCTAACCTTATTTTCCAGTTCTTGAGAAAACGTTTATTCAATACTTCTGCCCAAGTTCGCTCAAATCGCTGATGTTTTTTTTTTAATGTTTGTAATTTTAAATAGACTTCTCTTTTGAATGGCCACTTAAAAGATGTGGATCCTGAAATATTTAATATAATAGAATTGGAAAAAAGGAGACAAAGAGAATCAATTGTTCTGATACCTTCTGAAGTAATTTAATATTTTTTATGATATAAAAAAAATTGTTGTTTTAATTAGATGCTTAACAATACAACATTTGTTTTTAGAATTTCACTTCTTCATCTGTTATGGAAGCACTGGGGTCAATAATGCAAAATAAATATTCCGAAGGCTATCCTGGTATATATATAATAAAAAAAGTATTTCACCTTAAATAGATTAAACTGATAGGTGCTAGATATTACGGTGGAAATCAATTCATTGATATGGCTGAAACTCTCTGTCAAAAAAGGGCCTTGGAGGCATTTCATGTTAATCCTGATAAATGGGGTGTTAATGTTCAAGCTTTATCTGGTAAAATTATTACTTTTATTGTAACAAAAAAAGGTTAATGTTATAAAACTAGGGGCACCTGCAAATCTTTACGCATATAGTGCATTAATGAGACCACACGATAGGCTAATGGGTTTGGATTTACCGCATGGTGGACAGTATATACAAAAATATAAAAGAGATCTTTCTTAAATTTTGTTGCTAGTTTATCCCATGGTTACCAAACAGACACCAAAAAAATATCTGCGGTTTCAACTTATTTTGAGACTATGCCATATAGATTAAATGAAGAAACAGGATTGGTGGACTATGAAGCTTTAAAAGCCTCTGCCCAACTTTTTAGACCTAAAATTTTAGTGGCAGGTGCAAGTGCTTATGCAAGAAGTTGGAATTATAAGAAAATGAAAGAAATTGCTGACAGCGTGGGTGCTTATCTTTTAGTAGATATGGCCCACATATCAGGCTTAGTAGCAGCCGAAGTAATGGAAAGCCCTTTTGATTATGCCGATATAGTTACTACTACTACACATAAATCTTTACGGGGTCCTAGAGGATCTATGATTTTCTATAGAAAAGGTGTGAGGTCTGTTGACAAGAAAGGAATAGGTAATCAAATCGATTTGTTGAATTTTTTATTGTTGTTGTAGAGACAATGTATGACTTGGAAAATCCAATTAACTTTAGTGTCTTTCCTGGTCACCAAGGGGGGCCTCATAATCATACAATTACAGCGCTAGCAGTAGCTTTGAAACAGGTATAAATGTGTTAAATAGAAAAAAAAAAGTTTAATAAATAAATATTGACTGCAACTAGGCACAAAGTTCTACTTTTAAAGATTATCAAAAGCAAGTTCTATTAAATGCCAAAAGAATGGAAAATGTCTTCAAAAAACTGGGTTATAACATGGTAGGCGGAGGTACTGATTCCCACTTGTTGCTTTTGGATTTAAGAAATAAAGTATTTTTAAAAAAGTGTTTTATGAGAATAAACTAGTGAAATTTTTTAAATAGAAAATAGATGGAGCAAGGGTAGAAAGAATATTGGAATTAGTCAATATTGCTACAAACAAAAACACAGTACCTGGGGATAAAAGTGCCTTGATTCCTAGTGGTTTAAGGATGGGTATTTTTTCAATTTTTAACTTAGAGTTAAATAAAGCAATCAATTATATAAATAGGATCGCCTGCAATGACAACTAGAGGCTTGATAGAAAATGATTTTGATGTAGTATGTGAATTCATTGATAGAATTATTAAGCTGACCACTAAAATTAATTCCACAGTTTCAGGTAAGTTTGCATTTTTTAAATCAAGAAAGTTGTAACTTTTTTATAGGCACTAAATTAAAAGCGTTCAAAGCTGCAGTGGGAGAAGATGGTGGGCCAGAATTTAAAGGTGAAATTAGTGCGATTAAAAAAGAAGTTATTAGTTTTTCCAATAATTTTCCTGCAATTGGGGTTTAAAGATATATATTATTTTAGTTTTTTTTTAATAATTTAAAAAAAAAAAAAAAAATGATAAGAAATAATTAAAATTTGATAATAAACTTTAGCTTGAAGCTAAGCACTTTTAAATTATGAATTTTAAAAAAAGTATTACAAAAAACTTTTTTTTAATCTTTTTTTTTTTTTTTGCATTACTTTTTTATTATCTAACTGGAAAAAAAAAAAAAATCTCGTAGTATATCAGTTTAAAAAGGTAAAGATTTATTAGAGATTCTTTTCTTATTTTTATAATGAGATTCTATACATATTCTAAATGAACAGTGACAGAAATATGGTCAACAGTCCAAAAAACAAAACAACTCGACCACCGTACGGTTTGTTTGCCTCTCCTGCAAGCACCTTTGGAACTGATATAACTAGTCTTGGTGCATCATATAGTGATGGAGGGCCCCATGGATCGTCCGGAATGTTTGAGTACCTTATACTACACAAAAAAAAAGTAAAAAATTTAAATAAAAAAAAAAAATAATACCTTTCATTTGCACAAATCTGCAATACTGGAAAAAAGAATAGAGTTCCGTTTACTAATGAGGATGGGATTGTAACGTTAAAAAAAAAATCTTGATAAAAACTTGGATCCATGTTATATCCAGTGAAACTAACAACGTTTGATGCCAAATTTGGCAACGGTCCAATTGTTACTGTTGATCTATTGTTTTTTGCAGTAACGCTAACTTCATTTGTAGCTGTAACAGCTAGAGTAAATTGAAGGTTTGATTAAATTAAGAAAAATAGAATTTTTATGTACATACTTATTGGAGGTGGTTTGGTGAATAATGGAGGGGGTTTGGAAGTTACTATTACAGATGGAATTCCTGTTCCTTGAGGGATAACTGTGAATACTTTAGTTCCAAAAGTAACTAAGCTAGGACCAGCAGATGTTTCAGCAGTAGGAACTGGGGCGAGAGCAATTTGTCGTTTGTTTAGTTTACTGACTACAGCATCTCTTTTAATGATTGAAGGTGGAGCGGTATTTTCATCTAATGTTGAGGCCATTTGCCAGTTTGGTGCTTCAGCAAATTGAACGTTCTGCAAACCAACAGGTATCGTTATTGCCAAACCAACCATTGGAGATCCTTGACATCCACCAAATGCTAAATATATACATTAAAAAATAAAATATAAAAATTCTTTACTTACTAACTCGAATGGCTAAAGTTTGAGTACCAGTCAATGCATGACTTGGAGTCATTAAAACTCTTTGCATAGAAGTAATAATTAATGAAGCCAGCGAAATTACATTGTATAGTTTCATTTGGTATCTTTTTATTTTTATTTTAAATTTTCTTTTAAATGGTATGAAAAAAAATGAAAAAGAAAGAAAAAAAAAAAAAAAATTTTTATTAAAACATTTAAGAATCTAATTTATAATTTTAGTACATTTTTTTTTAATTGTAAAAAAAATAAAAAAGTTTGTATTTTGGCGTTCAAACAATTAATTGAAAAAAAAAAATTTTCACTTGGAATTTAAACTCCGTTCTTTTACAAACATTTACAGTATCAAATCTATATGTAAATGCTATGTATCCTAGTGCCTCGTATACTATTTTTCCTTCTCAACGGGCTCTTTTTCTTAATTGGGAATTGATTTTTTGTCCTATAAACCTATCTGAACAGTGTTGAAAAGAATTGAGTAATATATAATAATAACTTTATTTGTTCAATGCTTAGAATAAAACAAATAAATATCATATATTTTATCAATTTATATAATTTAAAGTTTCCAATTATTTAAAAAAAAAGAACGCGTATGAGAATCACAATAAATTTGAAAATTTTAAAAGAATCGTCGCTATGCCGGAGAGGTCTAACGGGTTTGTTTCGAAAGCAAATATTCTTTGAATACCTGGGTTCAAATCCCAGTGGCGACGAATTTTTAAAATTATATCTCCGAGTTTTTTACCGCGAGTTTGTTGAAGAAATAAAAGAAAAATTTAAAATAAATTCAAGTTGTTTATTTTCATTTTTAAATTTTTTTATTTTTTTTTTGGATTTATTTTTTCTACTATTTTTTAAACATATTTTTAATTTTTTTGTTTTTAATTTTTTCGAAAAAAAAAGAAAAATTGTAGTTTTAAAAAAAAAAAAATTAAAATCAAAAATCAGAAATGGAGCAATAAAAAAAATTTTAAAAAAAAGTTCATTTTTTCTTTGTTTCGAAAAATGAACCTTTTTTTTTAGGTTCTGTGTGACACAGAAATAGAGCTAATTTTTTTTACTAATTACTTTTTATTTTATTTTTTATTAAACAAAATATGCTTGAAATTGATACGATTAGGTAATAAAAAGATATATAAAAGTAGTAAATTTTTTCTGTTTTTTTTTTTTAAAAGAACTTTGGCAGCAGATATGGTTCAAAAAGCAAATTCAGGTCATGCTGGTAAAAATAAAACTAAAATGTTTACAGTTTAATGAAATATTCTCTTTAGGAATGCCAATGGGTTGTGCACCGATGGCATTTGTCTTATTTACTAATTTCATTAAACAAAATCCAAAAAATCCGAGATGGGTAAAAAAAAGAAAAAAATATATAAAATTAAACTACCTGCTTGAAAACTTGATTTAAATTAAAAAAAAAAATTTCATAGGTGGATAGGGATAGATTTGTTCTTTCCAACGGACATGGATGTGCTTTACAGTACATAATTTTTCACTTACTTGGTTATAAAATTACAATGGATGATTTAAAAAATTTTAGACAAGTTGATTCAATGTGATAATAGACAAAATAAAAAAAGAATTTAATGATTATTATTTTAAAAAAATAAAAAAGAACTCCAGGACATCCAGAAGCAAAACATGGTATTGAAGGTATTGAATTAACAACTGGACCGTTAGGTCAAGGAATATCCAGTTCTGTTGGCATTGCACTAGCAGAAGCTCACATGGCCGCTACATTCAACAGAGAAGGATTTAAAATTATTGATAACTACACATATTGTATTTGTGGTGATGGTTGTTTACAAGAAGGAATTTCCAGTGAAGCTTCTTCACTTGCTGGGTATCTTTTTTAATTTTCCTTTTTTTAATTTTTTTTGTTAAGACACTTAAAATTAGGAAAATTAATTGTACTATACGACGATAATAGTATTACTATTGATGGAGATACTGCTTTAGGCTTTACTGAAGATGTTTTAAAAAGGTTTGTCTTTTTTCTTTTATCTCAATTTATTTTTCTCCTTATCCTGTTATTTTATTTCATCTGGCTAATATTTTTTTTCTTCCTCAAGGTATGAAGCTTATGGATGGCATGTATCAAAAATTGATGATGGAGATCATGATTTAGAAGCAATAAAAAATAAAATTGAAGAGGCAAGAAGTATTAAAGATAAACCTAGTATTATTAAAATAAAGTATCTATTTTCTTATATAAATTTTTTTTTTTATTCTTTTTTTTATTTTATTAAAGGACTACGATAGGATTTGGATCAATGCATCAAGGAGAAGAAAAAGTTCATGGATCACCTTTGGGTGATGATGACATTAAAGAATTAAAAAAAAAATTTGGTTTAGATCCAGAAAAAAAATTTCATATTCCAAATTCCGTATATGAATTTTTTCATAAAATTTCCGCTAGAGGTGATCAAAGTGAAGCTAACTGGAATAAACTTTTTGAAAATTATAAATTAAAATATCCTGAATTGGTTTAAACCTTTTGTTATTTTTTTTTTTTTAATTTTTCACAAAAAGGCTGCTGAATTGATTCGGAGAATTGAAGGCAGGCTTCCTGATAATTTTGAATCCTTTTTTCCTACCTTTACTCCAGATGATCCAGGTATTATATGTTTATATTTTTTATTTTTTTATTTTTTTTAGCTCAAGCAACAAGAAAATATAGTGAAACGGTACTAAATAATATTGCTGATCATTTACCAGGTTCCAAAAAAAAAAAAAAAAAAAAGGAAGAAATAATTTACAATTAACTTTTTTGTTTCTTTTTTTTTTTAGAATTAATTGGAGGTTCAGCAGATCTTACAGGTTCAAATTTAACAAAGTGGAAAACAGCTAAAGAATTTCAAGCTGACTCAACTGGATTAGGCAGTTATGATGGACGTTGTATACGATTTGGTAAATTAAATAAAAAGAAAAAAAAAAATAATGTGAAAACAAAAATTTAGGTGTAAGGGAACATGGTATGGCAGCAATTTGCAATGGTATAGCATCATATGGAGGTAAAATAATAAAAAAAAATAATTTTTTTTTTTTTTTGAACAATCTGCTTATCATTTTTTTTTTTTATTTTTTCTTTTTTTTCTCTAATCAAGGACTTATACCATTCGCAGCAACATTTTTTAATTTTATCAGCTATGCATTAGGTGCTGTAAGACTTTCAGCATTATCAAGATTTAGAGTGTTATATATTATGACACATGATTCTATTGGATTGGGTGAAGATGGTTAAAAAAAATAAAATAAGAAAAAAATAATTGAATTATGAAAATTTTTTTTTTAGGACCAACACATCAGCCTGTTGAAACCTTGGCAGGACTACGAGCATTACCAAATATATTAAATTTTCGACCAGCTGATGGAAATGAAGTTTCTGGAAGTTACTTGGAGGCTCTTAAGCATCAACACAAACCATCAGTATTAATATTATCTAGGCAAGGTGTGCCTAACTTGAAAGGAACTGATTTGGCGAAAGTACGATTAGGAGCATATATAATTGTAGATTCGTTAGCAGGAAAAAAATTAGACTTGATAATAATTGGAACTGGTAGTGAAGTTTCTGTTGCAGTTGAAGCTGGAAAACTTCTTTCTGAAAAACATAAACTTTTAGTTAGGGTAGTGAGTATGCCTTGTTGGGAATTATTTGAGGAACAATCTCAAGAATATAAAGAATTTATTTTTTCAAAAGATGTGCCAGTACTTAGGTAAAAAAATAAAAAGTGTTGACATTTTAAAAAATGATCCTAGTGTTGAGGCGTTATCTGCTTTAGGATGGGAAAGGTATGCGCATGGTTCAGTGTCAATGAAAACATTTGGCTCAAGTGGTCCATACAAGGTACCTTATATTATTATCAATATTTTCTTTTTATTTTTTTTGTAGAAACTTTTTACAAAATTTGGATTTGATGCAGATCAAGTAGCGAAAAAGGCATTGAAATTAATTGAATTTTTTAAAGATAAAAAACCAGATTGGAAAGTTTGTCGTTTTGAAGAATAAAAAAATTTTCCTTTCTATTTTTATTTTATTTGTATATATAATTTTTTTTTTTTTTTTTA